TCTTAGCAGCCATTTGTAAAAATGAAATGATATTTTAAGAAATTCTAAGGTTTTAATAAATCAAATTATGTGTTGACACGTTATTAATATCTGTCATTTTATTTAACCTTAAATATTCTTGTTTGAAATTCATCCTAATATCCTGAAATATTAAGGAAATTTTATTTATTTATATCTTTGAAGTTTCAATTTTTGTGTTTCAAAATAAGATTTTTTTTTGGAAGATTAGAAAGAAAAAAATAATTTAGTTTAAGAACTTGATCCAGCCGTTGGTAAAGTACTGCTCATAATGAATAATAAAGTTCCTCCAATTGAAAGTCCAACATTCATTGCCACCATGACTAAATTGCCTGCAATTTTCATATCATTTGGATCAACATCTTTATAAGCAATTTGGATAGCCCATGCAGAGACATAACCATTGGAGAATGAGAATAATAACATAATTGCAAACATAACAAATGGATTGTCATATACTTCGTAATAATAAATGAAAACAGGAATATAGAACAAGACACGTACAAGTGAAAGTCCAAGAATTGGCCATTTATTCCATGGAATTGGTATGTAAACAGCAAATCGACTAAGAAGATCACCTAACATAAATATAAATGTATTAATCATGACTGTTGTTGATTGATTAATAGTACTTTCATCATAAGATGTTGCAGTGAAGAATCCTGGGAAAATGGAAAGAGTAACAAAGAAAATGAATCCAATGGAGAAGAGGTTAATAAACATTTTCTTGAATACACGGAAGAATCCTTTAATACCACTTTTAGATTCACCTTCACAAGTAAGAAGAGTAACAGACTCTTCTTTTTGGTTACTTTGGGAATAAAGTTCTTTAGTTAAAGGAATGCAGAAGTACATATACATGTACATGGCATAACTAATAAGTAATACAATACCATTCATATAAAAAGTAAGGAAATAATCGTTATCAGGTTTTCCTTTGAAAATAGCATTGCTCAACATTCTAAGAAGTGATGAAATTAATCCACCAGCAGCCATACCAATGAAATAAATTGCACTATGGACGTTACTAAACATTCCAGATAATCCCATAAACACAGAAGAATTTATTGGAGTTGGTAATCCATTAAAAGTTGAAATACAAATCATAACCCAGAAACCTGCAGCATTTCCTTCAATAAAAACAAGGGCAAATGGAGTGATAACAAATAAAAGAATATGTAAAATGAAACTGGTATGAGCTAAGATGTTATGTGGGAAACTTTTTAATGAACTAGCAAGGTATGTCATAATAATAGCAATTAAAAAATTGAACCAATTGTAGAACAAAGGGAATGTTGACATATAACTCAAGTCATAAGTAAAATGAGTAGCCAATAAATCTCCTACATTCAATAAAGTATTGTAGAACATTAAATATGAACTTCCAAAGAAAAAGAAGAAAATGACAGTTAATATATTTTGGAACAAAGTTAATTTTTGGTTACCAAAGTTCATTTGAATGATTAAATGAATAATAAGATTTAATTTTATCGAAATAAATTGTTAAGTGGTATTCGTTCATATTCTTTATTGTTCTTTTTTTTAGGGTTTTCTTTCTATTTTGTTTCTCATTTAAAACAAATCTAGCTCAAAAAGGAAATAAAATAAATCATTTACTTTTAAACAGTTTGTAAAGTGGATGAACTGTATTTAGTCGAAGTCCAATATTAATTGTTTGATAATAATTTCCATGCATTTTTAGATTTTGAATGATATCAACTAACGGAATGGCACGTCCAATCACTGAGTTTAATGACTGAAATAATGGAGAATGAATAGTACAAAAATGAATGTGGAAATGCCAAAATGATGGAACATAATGAACGAATGTAATAATTTCATTTTCTTTTAATCCATATTTATTTGTTAATATTTTCATTGTTGTTTTTTCTATTCTTTCTAATAACTGTATATGGTTTTGATTTAAAGCACGTAATGAATGAATTGAATGATCTCTTACTAATACCAACCCATAAACTTGATTAAGGTTTTGACGGTCCCATTTCATATCAAGTAGAGAAACATAGTCATCATCATTAATTAGTACATTGTTTTGTTCAGCTGTACCATTCAGAATATTATAAATCCATTGAAATTCTGAGGATGGAATAGAATTAATGAATGGTAGAGTAATTGAATTGAACATTTGAGGTGTTTCAGTAAAAAATTCATATTTTTGTGGTTTATTTTTTTCAATATCATGTTGTGTTGCAGGAGAAATAACATCAACAGAATAAGAGGTAGTAATATTTCTTTCAATTGGAATTTCAATCTGATATTTTTTATATTTATCATTTGACATAATTAATCCTTTTTCAGGGTTTTTTTCGATTTCTTCAACAACACTTTGTCCTTCTGATTCACAAAAAGGTTGTTTGGATATAAAATAAACTAAACATTTAATACTTTTTTATTTAAAATATAAGAATATAGCAAACTAGTAGGTTTTTGTTCATCATTTTCTAATATAACAATTGACTTTGTATCAAGAAATTCATTTATAACTTCTAGTTGTTGCATGAAAGAAATAAAATTTTAAGATTTTATAACGATAACAAGACTTTAAAGAAAAATTGAGATTTAAAAAGATAAAATAAAAAATAAAAAATCTTAACTAAAAATTCATTCGATTCAACAGGTTTATGAATATATTCGCTATTATTCTTTTTATTTCTCTTGTTTCTTCTAAACAAGTTAACATAGTTTCTAAAATGGAAGCCAAATCAAAAGAATTTGCTATTGAGTGTCCTGATAATATTCCAAAACCAATTTGTGAAGAATTTATTTCTCAAAAAAGTTTTAAACCACTTGGAGGAATAGGAAATATTGCTACTTGTAAAATTTGCGAGTCATTTGTAGGAATAGCACTTGATTATATAACTAAAGGAGAGACAGTAGAGAATTTGAATAAGAAGATTCTTGACTTTTGTAGTATCTTTTCAAGAGAATTACCACATCATTACTGTTTTGTAATTGCACAAGAAATTTATGTTAAAGTATTAAATGCTGTTCAAAATAATGAAGCAGTCGATACTACACTTTGCTCAAAGATCAACTTATGTTAATTCATAAATTCTTCTAGAAGATTAAGGTTATTTATTTTTAGTTTAATATAAATAGATTTGTTTATCCAAACCAAAAAAATAGAATCAAAACTTGCATTCTATTTCATCATGTCAGAAGAAAGTGGCCAACAAGTACCACCTGCTATGGATTTATTCAGAATTACGTTCCACTCTCATAAGAAGCTTTATGACCTATTTTGGAAAGTAGTAGAGCCACTGTCTCAAATTCAAAGAGTTCAAAATACTATTGTATTGAAAAATGGTATAGTTATTCCTTTCCAATTGGCTCCTGTTTCAAGTACAATCCCTTCTTTATTTGCAAAAAAACAACAACATATTCTACTCTGTCCCTTATCAGATTCTAATTTAGAAGATAAAATTAGAACACAATTAGAATTATTTAGACAAGCTCAAATAGAACAACCATTATTAGTTATTATTATCAGTGACTCTGAAAAGAAAAAATATTCTGAAATAAAAGACTTTATTGAAAATGAAATTGAAGGTTTTGAATTAAAACAAACGAAAGTTAGTTCTCAAAGTGCATTTCAAATTAAATTAACAGAAAAAAAATATGGTCAGAGTGGTTCTTTATCTTCTCCTTCTTTAATTAAACAAAAATTCGAATGTGACATTTGTAAAATTCCTATCCTTCGAGAAATCACTAAATCTGATGTAGAAAAAATATGTGGATTTATTGCTAAAAGCAAAATTAAAAGAGAGATGGAATGGAAAAGAGTTTCTGTAGAATTGAAGAATAGTGTTATGACTTGTTTAACATTTATTAGTGATATATTTTATATCACTGAGCAAGAACTATTTTCTTTATTATGTATAAACAATAAACCACAATCATTTAAATCAAAGGTTTTAAAGTTATTACATGAATATGGAATTTTATACTCATTCAGGAAATCCCCATTCAGAAGTTTGAACTATCCGAAGTTAGAATTTCTCAATAAAATATTAGTCAAACCATGGATTTATCGTGACGTTTATGACAGAGCTAGAAATTCATGTTTCAGAGGAAGTTTTGCTGATGTTTCTTCAGTTTTTCAAGATTATGGTAAAGAATATGAACAAGTGGCATTTTTGATTTTTTATCATTTTGCTGTCATAAATGATATTTTTATTCTAGATGATGAAACTGTTAAAAAGAATAGAAGTGAAGCATTGGTTGAAAAGTATATAAGATCAACTAAAATAATATTCAATGAAGAAGAAGAAACTAGATTTGAATCAACTGAAGCTAAAATATTTCAAGAAAAAAGACAATTATCATATGCCTTTAAACAAGCTAATCACAATAACACAATTCTTAACCAAAATAGTTTCTTACAAATAACAGAAGAACAGACTCATTATGAACTATCAAATATTGAACTTCCAAAACATTTCCTTTGCTTTAGATTTATTAAAACACCTGATTTAATAGAACTTCATTGGAGTAAAAAACATTATGATAATGAACTTGAAATTGCTAGAAAATTTGAAACACCATTTCCAAAAAAAAGTGGTGGTGCTGTTGTAGCTAGTTTATTATTAAATGGAGATAAGATTATCGCAAAATCAGAAGATTTTGTTATTCTTGAAATTAATGAATGGAACCAAAAGGGATATTGTCTTGTAGAAAAAACAGAGAAAACAATTTCATTTCATCTAAGAACTATGGTAACAAGTTATTCTGTTTATATGTCAGTTATCAAATGTATAAATAGACTATATCATCTTTTGCAAAATACAGCCCCACCTCAGAAAAGATTTTGTTTCTGCCCAAAATGTCTTCATAAAGGAATATTTACACCAATGCAATTTAGTTTAGATTCAGTAAGACACGAAGAAATTAATTTTAAATGTAAACATATTATAACTATGATTGAATGTTTCCCTGATTTTGTATATGAGATATATATGAGAGAAATGAAACCAATTCAAGTTGGAAACAAATTAAAAATTAATGAAGGTGGTTATTCTGAAATATATAAAACAATAAGAAATGATACTCAACAAGAAATTATTGCTAAAGTGTTATTCAAGGGAGATTCCAAAGAATTATTTATGTTAAATTATACTCAATTTGTAAATGAAATTAAAGTCTCTGAAAGATGTAAATGTCAATGGATACTAGAGTTAGTTTCATTTTCAATTGAAGATATGACACTTTATTATGAATTTTGTGAAGGAGGGAATCTCTATAAATTTATTGATGAACAATCAACCCCATTTTCTGAAGAGATTCAATTGTCTCTAATTCTTGACCTTGCTCATGGAATAGAAGTTTTACATAAAAATGGATTTATTCACAGAGACATTAAATCACCTAATGTGTTAATCAAAAAAAACCCATTAAGATGTGTATTATGTGATTTTGGGTTATGTTCAGAATATGATTCTCATTATGTTTCTCAAGTAGATAATCCTATATGGTGTGCACCAGAAATTATTCAAAATGAACCACCAACAAGATCCTCAGATATTTATTCATTTTCTATTGTTATTTGGGAAATATTAACATTCAAACATCCTTTTGAATCATTTACTTTTATGACTTCATTAATAGGAGAAATTTTAAATGGGACAAGACCTGATGTTGATTTGGTTAAAAATGAAAAACTCAAACAATTATGTGAAGAAGGATGGGATGAAGACCCATTTAGAAGGCCTGCAATAAGTGATATTATTGAAACTCTGAGTAATGTTCATTAAATTAATTTATTTAATATTTAGTACTCTATTTTTTTTATTTTAAGAGAGAACATAATGCTTCTTAAAACTAAAACGTTCAATTTATTCATTCTTATCTTGTTTATCTTCGAAGAAATTTTTGACTGTAAAAGTAATTGTAATTGTTAATGAAAATCCTAAAGCAAATAATAATAAGACAAGAAATACAATATCACTTTCAAAACGAATTGATTCAACTTCAGTCATTCTTTCACCTAAATTCATATTTAAATAAGTTTGTGGTAATACTGAAAGAAGTTGAGCCAAGGCATATGAAAATATTGGTAGTCCAATTAAACCAAATAATACACAACAAATTCTGATAGGAAGAATTGGAACAAAAATTGAGAATAATGTAACATTACTAAAATAAGGCCAAAATTTAGAAGAAAATGAATGAACTTGTTGAAGTTTAGGAATAAAAGAAGATAAAATTTTTGATAAATAATACATTACAGAAAATAAAATAATTTCTGATAAAGTATGTATGATTACTGAAATACAAAAGGCATACACTTTACCGTATTTATATGCAAATAACATGTCAACTAATGAAGATTCAATATCTTGAGGTAATCTTATATGAACTGATAATGATATGAATATAAGTTTTATAAAAGAGATATTAGAATTTACTAGAGATTGAATTGTTTGAAGAGTAGGATGATAAAGTTGAACAAATACATTTCTATCCATTAAAACATTTTTTTTAATATTTAAAGTATTAATAACGCAAACTCATCTAAACCTGTAATAGAATTAAGAGTAGAAGGAGTATATAATGTATAACAAATAATTAAACTAATGATAAACAATATAAAATATCTAATGAGACTATTCTCCATCAAAATTTTTTAAGATAACTTTCTTAGTTTTTCTTTATTTTTCTGACTAAAAAGAATTGATAGAAAAAAGAAAATTGAATGAAATATTATTAACTAAACGTTCAGTCTAAAATCAATCATTTAAGTTGTCGTTTCTTTTCAAATCGAGTACTACTCTTTGGTGCTTTAAGTATATTTAATTGAACTTTTGGTGGATTTGTTAGTCCAAATGAAAGTGCAAGTCCTCCAATATCAAGATCATTTACATTGAATACATCTTTCAATGAACGACTGTTATATGCCATAATATAAGCCTTATACCCATCTTTTGCTTCAGTATTTAAATAATAATTTTTTTCAACTAATTTTTCTAATTCTCTTTGAATATTAGCAATTTTTTTTTCAGGAACTTCATATTGAGTCAATGGAATCTTTTCTCCTTTTAAATATTCTAAAATACGAATTTCACAAGGCTGAACAAATAAAAGTGCACGTCCTTTAGTGTCTGCACGAGCTGTTCTACCCACTCTATGAATATAGTCTTTTGGTGAATCAGGAAGGTCAACTTGAATAATCCAATCAACAGCAGGAATATCCAATCCACGAGCAGCAATATCAGTGGTAATTAAAATAGCTTCTTTTGCTTTACAAAATTCAAAAAATACTTTTGTTCTTTTATCTTGATCTAATTGTCCGTGAAGTGCTTTAACTGGTATGTCAATATAATTCAATAAATCGCTATAAAATTTAACAGCTTTACATGAAGACATAAAAACAATTGTTTTTTTATTTTTATTCTTTCTTAAAAATGTATATAATAATCTAAATCTATCTTTTGCTTCAATAAGAACATACCCTTGTTCTAATTTACTTGATGTGGATATTGTTGATTGACTTTCAACATTAATAACAACAGGTTGTTTTAATGAAATATTAGCAATGTCATCAACTTTTTCTGATTGAGTAGCACTAAATAACATTGTTTGTCTATTCTTTGGTAATCTGTTTAATATTTGTCTCATTTCTTCTTCAAATCCAACTTCCATAATTCTATCAGCTTCATCAATTACTAAACACTTTAAATTTCTGTAAATAAAACATTTAGTATTAATAATATGATCTAATAATCTACCTGGTGTTGCAACAACAATTGAAGCACCTTTTTTTAAAGCTTCTTCTTCCTTTTTTTTACTACTTCCACCAATAATTAATGTTCTTGTTCTTTCTGAATGAGCTAATATTTTTTCAAGTACATCAAATGTTTGAATAGCAAGTTCTCTAGTTGGTGAAATAATAATAGCACCTGTTCCATTTCTTGTTTGGAAATGGATTTTATTTAAAATTTCAACTATAGGAATTAAAAATGCTAAAGTTTTACCTGAACCAGTTCTAGCTTTTGCCATGATATCTTTTCCCATTAATAATAATGGAATTGACCTTGCTTGAATTGTAGTCATTTTAGTATACCCTGCTTCTTCAAGTGCTTTTTGAATTTCTTCTGAAAGGTTTAATGACTTATATTCAATATCAGTTAAAAATGATGATGTAGTTCCTTTAGTTTTTTCTTCGTTTTCCTCTTTACTTTTTGTTTTATTTTGATTTATTTCTTCTTTATTTGTACGCTCTTGTTTTTCTTCATTTTCTTCTTCACTTTCTATATTTTC